AGTTTAATTTTCAAGGGGCTGATCTGCGCTGCGCTAGTGGTCCGGTGACCAGTGGCCGGTGACATCTGGCTTTGTCGCCCTCAGCTATGCTGCGCACGGTGTCCGCCGTGCTCCAGTTCGGCAACGTGGTTCTCAAGTCGGAGCGGAACACGGACCAAGCCACCATGCCCGACAACACAGGTACTGACCCGCCAGCCCTGCCCACGGCTGGGGCCCCCTCCCCAGCCTCCCGCCCAGGGCCACTCTGACTCCCTGTCCCTGGCAGAGGCCTGCCCCAGTCACATCCCGCGCTCTTCCCGTCATTCGAAAAAGCTTGAGCTCCGCTGAGCCTTTCCACCAGCCCAGCAGCAGGGCGCCCTGCCCACCGGCCCCTCGGAGAGAACCACCCACAGCATTTGGCAAATCTCCAGAACTGTGCCCTCTGCTTCTATGCCTTATTTTTTTTTTTCCTTTTCAAAAGCAGAATTATAGTCAATATTCCTTTTTTTTTAACCAAAATGAAAATATCTATGCTTCTGAATTATTACACACTAATACAGGATGGAAGGAGAAAACCCGTTGAGGCAGAGAGAAAATGCCTGTAACCATATCTCTGAGAAACGACTGCTCTCTGGGCTTTGCTGTGTGTCTGTACTAGTGTGGATGTAGATTGTCACAGAAATATGGTCATATTTCACATGGCTCCCCCTAGAGATCAGAAGAGCCTTCTGCCCTGGTTATAAAATCCTATGGGCTCATTTTCAAAAGCTGCACAGCCCAGAGCATCTGAGGCAGCAGGGCGACCCCAGCAGGCTGTGGGCTGTGGGACAGGCAACCCTATCTGGGGCCCTCAGGGCTGAATCGGGAACCCAGCAAAGAGGCCATGCACATGCACATTTTTGCTTTATAAAATTGGGACCAGACCTCACAAACTATCTTGAAATCTGCTTTTTCCTCTTAGTGCATTGAGGGCAACTTTTGAGGTTGTTAACTAGACAGAAATTTCTTAATCTGGGGTCCACCGGTGGAGCTGTACGTCTCTGTCATTGGTCCCCTTTGAAATCTGTGCAATTTTGATTTCTGCATTTGCAAATATAAATCAGAGAAGCACTCTGTGGGCTTTTTTTAGCAGATGCCACAGGGCCCACAAGGCTGGGAACCCATGAACAACACTCTGTTGACGGCTGCATAGTGCCCCCACGGCCTGCTAACCACGTGCTGTTTTGAGTACCGTCCTTTAGCTCTGAAACTCCACGTGTGGAATGCACAGAGACCCAGCAGAATCAGAATGCTGGGCTGGGGCATGGCTCAGGGTAGAGCTAGGGCTTAGCATTCCAGGCCCTGAGTTCCATCCCCAGCATCTTGAAAGAAAGAAAGAAAGAAAGGATTAGAAACTGCAGTCACATGCCCACACCAAAGGAGAAATTTAAATCCTCCTGTCCTCCCCTCTCAGATGTAATGACCAATGACATTTTGATGCTATTTCCTTCTGGCGTTTATCTTTAATGCTGAGGCTGAGCATTTGTAGTAACTGTTCCCCATGATGGAAGTGACAGAAGCTTGAGGACATTTCTTTATTATGGGTTTAACCCAGAAACGTGAAACTCCCTTCCGGCACCATCTCGCCCTTCTCCTGCCCTGCATTGTGCTGTCCATGCATTTCTCCCTGCAATTTTTACCTGTAAAAATGAGATGGACTTTGCATGATTCTTTTAAGACATTTTAGAATTAAATGAAAATTGCAAAGTATTGCACATTTTATTCAAGTTCATAAACTATTTCCTAATATAATGCCCCCCCCATTATTTTCTTGGTAAAACACATTTAAAAAATCAAAAAGACTTATGTTTTATTACTATTTCTTTTGGCAGTACTGGGGATTGAACCCAGGGGTGCTCTGCCACTGAGCCACATCCCCAACCCTTTTTATTTTTTACTTTGAGACAGGATTTAGCCAAGTTGCTGAGGCTGGCTTCAAGCTTGCAATCCTCCTGCCTCAGCCTCCTGAGCCTCTGGGATCACAAGTTGCACCACCCCACCTGGCTTGAAAAGGATTGATTTAGAATTAGGTTGTGTGTCTGCCGTCGTCAAAGGATCCCATCCTGCTCCTTCTTTTACCCGCAGTCGCTGAACTCTAGGCTGTTCGCTGGCCTCTGTTAGGAACAAGGGTGTGATGAGCAGCGTGGTCTTTGCTCACGTCCTGGGTCATTTTGTCTGGTTATTAATTCTCTAGCTCCTACCGTGATTGGACCGGAACATCACACTTAGGACTGAAAGCACCCCACGGAGAAGCCCCGGCTCTCCACCCGCCCCCTCGCGCTGCAGCCCCCTCTTGGTACTGACGGTCTGCCTTCCTCCTTTCTCTTCAGCTGCACAGAAGCTCTGCCGCCTCCTGGGACTGGGAGTGACCGACTTCTCCCGTGCCCTGCTCACACCCCGCATCAAAGTTGGCCGAGATTATGTGCAAAAGGCCCAGAGCAAGGAACAGGTAGGCGGGGCCTGGCATTGAGGCCCCAGCTGGGGAGGACAGAGTTGGGGAGTGATTCGGACCTGGTTCCACTGTTAGCTGGGGTTTTTCTGTTAGTACCCAATTTTCATATGAAGGAACTGAGGCACAGAGAGGTTTATTTTCCATGTCTGAAGTCACACAGCCTTTAAGTGTTAGAGCAGGGATTCCAGCCCAGTTTATCTGGCTCCGGAGTCCAGCTCTTAACACGGAAATTGACTTGAGGCATGGCCAGACTGGTGAGCTGGCCTGCTGGGAGCGCTTGGCCCCATCGCTGGCAGCAGTGGGGCTTCCTTCACGGAGGGCTGTTCTTGGTGACGTTTGTAACCAAGAAGCTGGGGGTGAAGCTCGAGGGGCCAGGACTCAGGGCCCAACCACGGTCTCCTCCATGGCCGGGGACAGGCTGGGGCCTCACAGTGCTGCGTCCCTGTCCATCGCAGGCCGACTTTGCACTGGAGGCCCTGGCCAAGGCCACCTACGAGCGCCTCTTCCGCTGGCTGGTGCTGCGCCTCAACCGCGCTCTGGACCGCAGCCCCCGCCAGGGCGCCTCGTTCCTGGGAATCCTGGACATCGCGGGCTTTGAGATCTTCCAGGTCTGTTGCTTGGGCTGGGATGGGGCTGCCAGACTCCACCGCTGCCGCTTCCCTCGGGGGTCTCTGCCACGCCCCTGCCCCTCTCTGGCTGGGCGACGGTCCCTCTCAGGCCCACCCCTGTGCCGCTCACCCCTGTGCCGCTCCCCGCAGCTCAACTCCTTCGAGCAGCTGTGCATCAACTACACCAACGAGAAGCTGCAGCAGCTCTTCAACCACACCATGTTCGTGCTGGAGCAGGAGGAGTACCAGCGCGAGGGCATCCCCTGGACCTTCCTCGACTTCGGCCTCGACCTGCAGCCCTGCATCGACCTCATCGAGCGCCCGGTGAGCGGCGCCGCCCAGTGCCCTCTGCACCCACCAGCCTTGGCCTCGGGGCTCCGGGGGCTTTGACGCCCCCATTGGTGCTTCTTAGAGCCCTGCCACCAGGAGGCAGTAGGGACCCGGAATGCCCTGCCACAGGGCCTTGTCACTGGGTTCCTGAACGAATCTAACTATTGTCCTCACATCTGGTTCTAGGCCCAGGTGTTGCTTGTGGGACCTAAAAATCAGCAGCAACCTAAGTGGCCAATATTTGGGGATCTGATATTTTACTCTCCCCTCTTGTCCATGGTCAGGCCAACCCTCCCGGACTCCTGGCCCTGCTGGATGAGGAGTGCTGGTTCCCCAAGGCCACAGACAAGTCATTTGTGGAGAAGGTAGCCCAGGAGCAGGGAAGCCACCCCAAGTTCCAGCGCCCGAGGCACCTGCGGGATCAGGCTGACTTCAGTGTCCTGCACTATGCAGGCAAGGTAGGGGGCTGGGGACGGCCTGGGGACAAGTGGGCAGGAGTGGGGATCAGGGGGTCTCCACTTAGCTGCAGGGACGGGGAGGACGCAGAGGGAATGCAGGGCCCTTGATTTCTAGTCACAGACAAACAGGGGTCGGGAGAGCCCCGGAAGGAGCCAGGACTCCAATGAAGTCAGGAAAAAACTTCCTCCGGGAGGGATCTTTGCAGGGTTTTGAGAAATGGGTAGGAGTTCAGAGGGTGTGCATTTTCCAGTCATTCAGCAAACATGTGCAAAGGCCTTTCGTGTGCCCTGCTCTGTGCTGAGCATAGCTGGAGACATAAGTCAAGTATGGTTTCTGTCCTCACGCACTTCCTTATTGGGAGGGATAGAGTAAGGCTGTGAGGATGTAAGGCTGGAAGCTCCGTGAAGAGGAAGACCAGGAGGCCTCCACGAGAATGCTCCTCCATCAGAATGGCCCGCTGACCTTTTCTGTAAAGGGCCAGACAGCAACAGTGTCAGCGTTGTGGGTCGATGGCCTCTGTCACAGCGACACAATTTTGTTGTAGCATGAAAGAAGCCACTGCTAACTCAAAAGAACACTGTATCCAGTAAAACTTTCCTAGAAGGAGGCTGCAGGCTGGATGTGGTCTGTGGTCTTAGTGAGCAGGGGCCGCGGGCAGCCAAGAGAGGACATCAGAAGGTGGGTTGTGCTCTCCAGGCACAGAGCACAGGCGCATAGGGTAGGGGATGTTGTTCCCACTGCGGACACCAGGTGGCGCCCACGCTCTGGTCCCTGGGAGCTGCCTGGGGCTCAGCTGCCCAGGGAGCTGGTGAGCCCAAGACACATGGTCTCTCTCTGGCTCCATCAGGTGGACTACAAGGCCAACGAGTGGCTGATGAAGAACATGGACCCACTGAACGACAATGTCGCAGCCTTGCTTCACCAGAGCACTGACCGGCTCACGGCAGAGATCTGGAAGGACGGTGAGGACCACCTTCCCAGGGCCTGTCCTGGGTGCCTGCACATCCCTCTCCCCGCTCACAGTGTGGCCATTTTGATAAGCTCTCTGCTCAGACCCAGAGCCCAGAGCTCACAGGTAATGTTTCCAGTTAGTGGCAGATAGAAGTATCATTTGCTTGATATCTTCAACCAACATCCCATTCAAGGATAAAACACTCCCTTCATCAGAAGCAACACATTGATGTCTACTATTGATTGGCCTGCTGTCAATCATTGTTTTTAGCAATACTAGCCTATGCAATCAGACCAGAAAAGAAATAGGTACAGTCATCCCTCAGTTCACTAGGACTTGGTTTCAGCATTCCTTTCAAGTACCAAAGTCTGTGAATGTCCAAGTCCTTTGTAGACTATGGAGTATTAGTTGGATACAACCTACACACATCTTTCTATATACTTAAAATCATCTCTAGGTTAGTTATGATACCTGATATATTATAAATGATATAAATAACTATTACACTGTATTCTTTAGAGAATAATGATGCCCCCCCCCAAAAAAAAACAAGTGGTAAATATTGAGTATGGATGCAAGAGGTTTTTTCTGAATATTTTCAATCCACTATTTGTTGAGTCCATGAATACAGAACCTGCATATATGGAGAGCAAGTTGCATATGGATATTCTAATGGAAAAGGGAAACTTATTTGTAGATCTATGTATACACATATGTAGGAATAATTGTAGACAAATGTTTCCTAAAATAAATTAGGAGATTCTACTAAAAAGGGATTAACAACCCAAGAAAACCTAGAAGAGGATTCTTAGGCTCATTGGCTTTGGGTCTTTGCTTTCTTCACTTGATTACAAAGTCCCCTCCCAGCCCCTGAGGAGGAGAGGAACCACAGGCTGAGATATGGTTTGCCAGGGTTTTCCTGCTCCAATAAGGAAAGAGTTTGGCCATCCATGTGCTTGGGGGCATCAGCAGCAGTGTCAGGTACCTTCATAGCAGGATCCTGACCTTCACCAGATATTTTGTCTGCTGCCCTCATCTTGAGGGCAGGTTTGAGAAATGATTTTATAAACTGGCAGAACCAGCATTTTGATTTTGAATTTGTGAATTTGCCATAACCTTTTACTGATCTGGAGAGTGTAGCTGTAGAAGTACCAGCCCATGCAATTAGGCAAGAAAACAAAATAGGTGAGTTGCTTCTAGAAAAAAGAGCACAAAATGCCTTCATCTTGTGAGCTGATGTCATCAAGAGAAATTTGATTTTTGTGTTCATACCAGAGAGTGAAAAGCAGCATTTGATATTCAGATTCTGCTATGAAAATCATCTCTGAAAAATCTTCCCTGCTATTCTTTAAAACGGGTGCCCCCTCATGGATACACAAATCCCCCAGTGAGCCCACATTTTTCACATCCAATGTGTGCCTGGCTCATGAGAGAAAGTGGAGGCTGTGAAGCTTCCTGAATCCAGGTTGGGAGCCGGTATAGTCGCACTTCCTCTAAGCTCTCCTAAACAAAGGCACTCATGAGGCCAGTCCAGATTCAAAGCGTTAGACGTCACAGGCAAAGGATTCAAAGTGAGGGAGGGGATGGAATTGGGGCCATTTTGGGTTATTCATGTCTACTGTAGCAGCCTTGATCATGAATTGGGCATACTGCACCCTGGCAGCCAGGGGAAAGGTAGATGAGATAAGCTGTCCTCTGAGCAGCTGAACTAACAAGTGTGCTGGGAGCATCAAGTTAGTTCTTGAGCTTCCTGGAAGCCTGGGGAAATAGGAGATATATCGCCATCTATCCTAGCTGGCGACCTAATGCTGGGATCACAAAATCTGACTATGCCAGTAATTTAAGAAAATGACAAAGCACAAAAACACACAGAAGAACCTTTTCAGTAATGGTAAGGAAATGGCTCTGCAACCTTAGGAGTCTGTGGAAAGAGAAATAGCCACCAGAATTCTTTATTCTTATATAGGGGACACACAAGGGCAGGTTCCATGGAACATTCTATCCCAAAAAGGGCAAAGGTAGGATTACAAAGGAACAGGTGAGGGTAGCTCTTCCCCATGGGTGACGCCTACGCCTGGAGCCACATTGTCATCTGAGCTGGGGTAACGCCCAAGTTCCTGGGACCTGCCACGGCCCTGCCAGACTGCAGGCAATTGATCAGAAGCCAGTGCATCGGGACTTAAAGGCATCTGCATCCAGGGCAGCTCCTGACAGGGATCCCTATTAAAAACAGACAAACGCAGCCTCTAGGAAGAGAGAGTTTTCCCCTTGTGCTCAAGGCCCATAGGACATTCATCCTGTCAGCCAACACCAGTGCCCTAAGTGGGTAGATATAAGGTGAACAGGACTTGAAAATCTCATGGCCAACATTCAGGCTTCCCCCTGCTCCCTCTGTGCTCTTGACTAACGACCTCTCCTCTCTTTCTTCATGCCATCTCTCTCCCTCCATGCATCTCTCTGCCATCTCTCTGCCATCTCCCCTCCCTCTCATCTGCCCTCACTCCCCAGAACACGGGGGCCTCCAGCAGCTCTCCTTCCTTGGCTCCTTCCCCCCGTCACCCCCAGGATCTGCAGGGAGGCGCGGCTCGGACACTCCTCTGCCAGGGGGTGGGTGTCCCTGTGCATCGACGGGTGAGGCTGCTGGACAGGGAGGGTGGACTGTTGGGCTGGGGACCTGGTTTGAGCATCATCCAGCCCCTCTCCTCTCTGCTGGAGGTCTCTCCCTCCCCCTCCCCCCGTGCCGGCCCCTTCTGCAGTTTCCAGTGTCTAACTGACCCTCAAGGAAAGTACAGACAAGCATGGTAAAGCTGTGGGGTTTTGTTTTTAATTTTTAATTTGTTCATTTAGTTGTGTTTCTTGAACGCTTACTATGTGCTGTTCATGATATGGAGCTCTATTATGATCGACACCCAGAATCCTCCTCACAACCCAGTGAGGAGGATGTTAGGACTGTTACCCCCATTAGGCAAATGAGGAAACTGAAACATAGAAAAAGGTTAAGTAACTTGCCCAAAGTCACACAGCCGCTAAGTGGCAGAGCTGGGATTTGAACACAGAACCTGACTTCTTCCCTATGCTCTAAGCACTTGATAATTATCGTTTTGAAAATGACTGAAAGCTTGAGAGTGGGGGAGAGTTGAACCCAGGGAGGAACAAGTCACACTCCAGGCCCTGCCCTAAGGCTGGATTATCCAGCTGACCACTGATGGCCTTTAGGTGGGTTGAGTTTCACAGGACATCAGATGCTGCCCGGCTGCAGGTTTCTGAGAACCCGGCCTGATTCCGTGCACAGAATGTGAGATGACACAGAAGGAAGATGTGTGGGGTTTATGTTACTAGCTGAAGTGGCCCCACCAAGTGGCCACAGAGGGCACAGGTTACTGTGAAATCGAGGCTTTCTAGAAAAGGAGCTTAGAGGGAAGCACTGCGCCCTGTTCAGAGGTCACACGTGACAACTGGCTTTATCACATTTTCAAGGTGTCTCTGTTCCGTGCTCCTGCAGTTGCACTGGGGTTGCTCTCCCGGTTTCCCTCTCTGGGCCTCAGTTTCCTCCTCTGTAAAATGGGAATGACCCTAGGCTTACACGCAGTTGTGAACTGCTCTGAGCACAACCAGGGAGAGTAGAGTCTCTACAAGTCGTGGGTGAGGGGCATCCTCAGGCCCATCGTCAGACGCCGCGTGTCTGATGAAGGAAGTATCTCATCCTTGAGAAGAGGGATCTGAGATCCCGGGGAGCCGGAGAGGGCGCACACTGAATCTTCTGAGCCGTGGGACCTTGTGCACAGTCTCTGGTCGCTCAATCTGCCCTTCTATCCAATGGGGCC